AAGTCAATGCCAGAGGCAATCAGGTCATCAAGAACATGATCTCGTAATAATGAAATATATTTCATTGTGTTCATGTTCCCTTCAATAGGATAGACCTTGATTTTACCTGTACCTGAAATATACCCCCAAACCATTAAACCCCCGCCTCCGAATTTAAGAGTGCGAATGATTCGATGTTGTGGTGCAGATGCATCAACATGCTTGTAGTACGTCTGGCCGCCCACGGCCCCAAAAATCCTAAATGTGCTTTCATCTGTATAAATGAAATTCTTGAAATCTTGATATGTCAAATCAGAATGGCTTGCATGATAAACCATACGCAACTTCAGATTCTTTTTTGATAATGCCGGTCCTTTAATTTTTTTTGTTGGATCTGAAGCCGTTTTTGATCAATAATTTCCTAATAGTTGATTTTTCGATTTTTTTATCGAACGATTCAGCAACATATGCTACCCCATCACTACTAACCTGTAGTAAACCAGACCCAAATTTTCGTAAAATGACATTGGTTTCTTTTTTAGATAGCACATTTGGACGTCCAGGGAGATTTTTACTTTTTTTGATTCTGAATCTTCGTACTGATTGTTCACTTAAATCTAACTTCACTGCAAGCTTTCTGTTGGATAAATGGCTGTTGCATGGTGCATTAATGAGCTCAATCTTTTCCTTACTCAATCTTTTCATAGAGGGGTTTTTAATGAAAAACTATATATGGCATTTTTGCGAGGGAAAACATGGTATTATTCGATTTAATGGTTAAATGCATTGAAAAATACACCATTATGTTGTATTCGGTGTTGTTCTGAGCATTGGCGCAATTAAACCTCACCTTATAATGCTTAATAAAAATCGCACAAGACAAGTGGTATGGTAGTTTAGATCGATATGATACAAATACACTGTAACTCATACACAATATTCCAAGAATTTTTTTCGAGNATGGTATTATTCGATTTAATGGTTAAATGCATTGAAAAATACACCATTATGTTGTATTCGGTGTTGTTCTGAGCATTGGCGCAATTAAACCTCACCTTATAATGCTTAATAAAAATCGCACAAGACAAGTGGTATGGTAGTTTAGATCGATATGATACAAATACACTGTAACTCATACACAATATTCCAAGAATTTTTTTCGAGGGCTTTACACGAAGATTTTTATGCTTTTCCTTAATGTTTTTATGTATTTTAGCCCTTAAAATAGTATTGGCGCAATTATTCACACCACTATATTATGGTTACTACGACAGTTTCATTTACTTAGTCTTTTCTCAAATCAATTAGCTCGTTTCTTGGGCCTCGTTCATCGACTACCACGACCTCGAGATGGTCTCCTGTTTTGATGTCTGATTCAGCAGCAGAATCAAAGGCCTTTTTGATCAAATTCAGTGCATCATCGAATTTGATTCCCTGGTAGTTTTCGAAGTTCTTTCCATCGATCCAGCTGTCCAAAAGTGGCTGAATCATTTTGGTTCCAGTGCCATCTACGCGGCATGCGACACTCTGGTAGGATCCAACACAATCGTACGAGTACAACATGGCCTGTTTGACTCCATTGATGGTCTCAAATCCACTTAGGCAGCAGTAGCTGTAAAGTGGAAAGAACCTGTTGTTGTAGAGGACGTGGTGGAGCAGCTGGGCCATTGAGGAGAGGGAGATCGTGTCGTACTGTTCGTACTGTTTCAGGGCGTAATTGAGACGAGTGGCAATGGAGTAGCCATCAGCAAAGAAGCCAGCGGTAGTCAGGAAGAAGTCGCCTATGCGATGGATTTTGGTGCTCTTTCTGGTGTAGATGTTGTAGTCAGAATTCAATCTGGTGTCTGCTGCAATAATCAGCTTATTATCCACCTTGATCGTGATTGTAGTGCCACCATTGTCTTCGTAGAGGTCTGCTTCAGAGACCTCAGCCTTCTTAGGCCTGGTGGCACCCAGGTTGCTCAAGACATCCTTGGAGTGGGATATCATCTCTTCTAATGGATTCATGAGACCAGTACGAGCCAGTTTCTCTGGCATAGTGCATTCTAGGACGTCTTCATCGTACTTCATACAGTTTTCAGTCTTTGGTAAATACATTTTGTTTGTTAGGGGCATAAAATCATGTAACCTTAATTTTTATTTCCTAAAGTATCTCGTAGAACATCCATCAAATCCCGCTCGTCAATTTCACTCTTCTTGTTGCTTCCGATGTCGTACACTACCACTTTTCCTACTTCCGCCTCTTTCTCCCCTGTCAGCACAACCAACTTGTAGTTTTTCTTTCTTCCATACTCAATCTGTCCCCTGAAGTCCAGGTTTGTTCCTGGAACCACACATGCACTGAATTCCTGTCGTATTCTGCTCAGAAGCTCCATCTTCTTCTCGAACATGTCTCCAAATGCCGACCCTACCAAAACACTCGTCTCAATCAGCCTCTCCAACTCGCTTGTCTTGCTCTGAGCCATCACAGCATGCATCACACGTGTCACTCCTATGCTGAATCCAATGCAAGGCGTATCAAATCCACTCAGTTCGTAAACCAACTTGTCGTATCGCCCTCCGCCTGCTACGCTTCCAACTTCTGCATCCTCAAAAACAGCCTCAATTATCATTCCGGTGTAGTACGTCAATCCACGTGCCAGGGTCAAATCGAATTTGACTGTTTCCACCCCAAAAATCACCTGCAACTTTCTCAACTCCTCCAGGTCTCCAATTGCCTCCCTCATTGCCGCCATTCTCTCATTTTCCTTGCCACTTGCCATTGCTTCCAGCTGTCTCAATGCCTCATTTCCGTCCTCTTTCAACAGGTTCAGTAGCTCCTTCTTCTTCCTCATTCCCTTGCTCTCCAACTCTGCCAGAAACTCCTCTTCATTCAACTTGTCGAACTTGTCGATTGTTGAACAAATTGGCATCTTGTTCTCATCTCCAATTTCAAGCAGATCCAGCATTCCCCAAATGATTCTCCTATCGTTGTACTTTATTCTGTAGTTTCCCAATTCAACCTTATACGGACTGAAACACCTTCTTATTCCCCCCAGTATTGAGTCAGCTGCCTTGATTATTTCTGCCTCATAAATCAGCTTCATTCCCTTGAATACGCCTGTGATGTCGATATCAGCCTGCGTAAACTCCCTTAGTCTTCCTTTACTTGGATTGTCTCTTCTGTACACGTTTCCAATGGTGAATCTCTTGTAGTTCGCTATCTTCTTCGATGCCACGTACCTTGCAAATGGAACTGTCATATCGTATCTCAAACTGTAAGCATCTCCACCCTGATTTTCCAAGTTGAATATCAGTTTCGTATCCTCACCGTATTTATCCATTAGGTTGGCTGTTAGTTCGTATGTTGGTGTCTGCAGCTCACTGGCTCCCATTCTCTCGAATACGCCCCTACAAACATCCTCAATCATCCCTTTGACCTTGCATTCCAGTCCAGACAAGTCGGCAGTGCCCTTTGGTGGTCGTAGATTGAAGTTTTTGGTCATGTTGGGGCTAAAATGATTACTTTTGTGTGATTGATCAAGTTAATGTGATATTTTCTGTTTAAATATCATACTGTGACCTGAATTGGTGAGCAAATTGACATTGATCACTCTTTGTTCATTAATTTATTTCGAGTTGATATATTAAATTTGTCTTATTGCGTTTCAGGGAGAGGTCTACGAAATAAGGATCCAGTGTGATATCTGTTACTGGACTATCATCAACTTCTTCATACTTGTAAATTGAGAGTTGTTGCGTAAGGTACGATGTTTTCTTAGGTTTTGTCCATAGTGGAAAACCAAGTCATGATGCTGTTTCTAACACTATCATTATTTGAATGTGGTGATCAAATGCGTATGTAGACTACTTGTTACTAACTCTCATTCTTCAATTAGTCAAATTTTTAAGTATCCCTTCAAATGTTTGTTTGGTTTGAAATGTCTAGAGCACTCGTCATAGCACTTGACATCAACAGACAGGTCTCATTCATGGTGAAAACACCAAAAGCGGGATACCCAATTGAGTATACGAAGAAGGTGGGCATGGATTTGGAAACATTCAGGCTATCTAAGGAGTTGAACAATACGGTGGTAGGAGACATATACAAGGAGGTTGCAAGCAAGGAGATGAAGTACAAGGCACAGTTTACAGAGAAAATGAATGACATCAGTCCACTTGGATTGAACGTCTTCTTTGCTCATAATTTATTGGAGAAGCACCTTCAAAAACACATTGGAAATGGTAAATTATACGTGAATGTGAAGGATTATAACAGCAAGAGTGAAGCAGAGGGCATATTGGAAGAGATGGGGAACATGAAGATGGATGTTACTGTGGTTCCAGAGTCATTGGCAGTTGCTATGTACTTGCTAAATCAGTACAAAATGAGTGAAGTTGAAATACTGAATTTTAGAGGAAGGTTTGCCGTCTTAAGCAAGTTCAAGGTAGAAGAAAAGGAAGGTGATGGCAAAAAGATAATCAAATTGGAAAGTAGGAAAACAGTGGGAGACATGTCTGATTTCAAGGTTGAAGAAATCATAGACATATTTATCAAGAAAGCGGTGTTTAAAGCAACAGGTGACTTCAATATCACGTGTCTACCACATACAAACACAGAAATGAAGGCATACTGTGATATTCTACCAGTGCGACAGCAGATAATCAACTACCTGAATCTAGGAAACAAGAAGTACACACATAATGGACTGGATTGGTTTGAGAAAAAAGACAAAAAGGGAACAATTCCAGAGCTAACATTCGATTTAGATGTGATAAGGGCCAAGATAGAGAGGAAGAGAAGCAATTTGATACTGAATGAGAAGACATTTGTTCTATCAAATTTCAGTTTCATGGATAAGTACAACAGTATTGAAGGAGTGATGGTATCAGGTACACCGATAATACACGGAATGTTATTGGAACCAGAATACGAGGTACAGAAAGATGAGCTGCTTATTGAACGCAAATTCAAGCATTTTACAGGTGAATTCCTGAATTTCTATTCAAAGCTACAGGTTATGAAACGAGCACATGTGCTATGTGAAGCAGTCAATAACAGCGTATTGGAGTACGACTACATTGATCACGAGAAGGAGTCGTATAAGAAGTTCATGGTGTTTGCTGAGGAGAACAGAACTAAAATGATGAAATCGTTTGAAAAGGCAAATGAGTTCATCGGATTGCATAAGATCGTAGAAAATGAGGATTTGGAGATCAAAGGGAAGTTTATAATGAAGGAAACGCAGCTAAAGATGCTCAGAAAGACAATGGAGGAGGCTACTGCACTATCAATTGATGTGAAGGAGTATGAGAAGTTCCTAAGCAAAAAAGAGAGTGATCCTCAGGCAGGTGTAGAAATCAAAGGGAAGAATTTTGAACTGAAAATGAAGGTGAACAAAAAGAAGAAGGAAAATGAAGAGGACAAGAAGGTTGAAGAAAAAGAAGGAAAAGAAGAAGACACATTTGAAGGATCAAATACACTTGAGGATATTCAGAAGAAGGTGCAAGATATGATCAAGAAGCAGGGTATTGATGATAAATTGAAACGGCTATTTGGTAATAAGGAAGATGTGACAGAAGAAGATCGGAATAAAGTTGAAAAGATGCTTGAAGCAGCACAGAAGGAGCAGGATGAGAACGAGGAAGAGCCAAAGGAGAAGAAGACGCCCAAGAGGGATGAGCTGTAAATTCAGTTCGTCAGGTCATCTAATTCTTTATCTGTTTATGCTTGTATTGTTTAGCCCATGTTTACGCAAACAAATAAGAACGATACGGTGTACGAGACAGAGATAAAAAAGGTGTTGAATAAGTTCAGTAGAGCAGTGGAATGGTCTGACTTCATTGGATTGCTGAGTGACCTGGCTGAAGTAGTCAAGAGACACAATACCACAAAGAAGGAGTACATTGTATGCATGCCCACATTTCTGAAGCGAATTGCACAGTGCCTGAATCCAGTTCTGCCAAATGGAGTCCACGTGAAGACACTCGACGTCTACAAGACGATATTCAAGGCATGTGGTGACTTCGCATGCATCCAAACAAGCAAGACGCATCAGAACACGAATGATTTCATGGTGGCCAATTTCGAGATCCTGAATAGGCCGCTTCTCAAGTTTGGAAGTGGCTGTAGAATTCTGGTTGTGAAACAGTACTTATCGGTAATTGAGAGATTCATCATTCCACTGGTACAGGAGATCAAGACCAAACTGACCAAAGTGGACGACTCAAAATACGAGAACATTCTGAAGATGGTGCTGGCTGGAATACTCCCCATGGTTGAGTCTGAGGCGACTGAGTCGTTTGAAGACGCCTACAAGTTGCTGGTTGTGCTCTACGACATAAACAAGGAAAATAGAACAAGAAGCTTCTACCTGATTCTACACAGGCTGTTTTCAGAGAAAGACGCCTTGAGACTGCCAATAATCAACTTCATGAACAAGCACAAGATGGACGATGTCACCTACGATTTGGAGTTTCAGGTGGTGATCAATAGGGCGTATTGTGATGGAATCCACGCTGAATCGCATTTTGTGGTGAGAACTCTTTTGGATAGGACAAATCCACTTTATCCAATGAAGTTGAACGTGGAGAGGGAGGTGACTGAAACGAGGCCACCTGTCACTGAATCGGTCATTTCGGTAGCAGAGACCACGACAGTTGCATCGGTGGAGTTCAAGAAGCAGACGCAGATTGTGGAGGAGGAGAATCCACTGCTTGGACAGCACCAGAACGAGTTGGAACAAATGAACCAGGAACTGCTTGAAAATGTCATCAAAATTCTACTAAGGAAGGAAGCAAGCTTAATAAAAAGAACCATAAAATGGCTTTATGCAAATAATGGACACGAAGACGAGCACGAACATAGCTGCATCACGAACATGGATCACACGAATGTTCTGACGTGTCTGAACCTGATATTAACGGCAAAGTGTTCCACAAACAAGGAGAACTTGGATTGCTTCATGAAGATTATGCTGGTGCTTTCAGACAGATTGGGAGAAACAGGAACAATTGCTGGGATACTGGACAAGTTTGCATTGAGGA